AAAAAAAAATATTTTAATTTTTGAGATAATGTACCATTATTTTAGACGAATTTAAAAGCAGACTAGTATACTCATCTTGTTATAATTAAAGTAAATAAAGTTTCGGATGATGTACCATCCAACTTTCTTCAGGTCTTTAAACTGAATCCTTTATTAAATCTATGGGAACGGCGCCCCATCCTTAGTGGATACCACTCATGGGCAAGCGTTGGTTAAAGATTTCGTTAAAATATTTTTGGTTCCCTGGCAGTTGTGAGGTCAATTTTCGGATTGGGTAGTGCGAAATGTTCAGTAAAAGAAACAGGTAAACGGTGCAAATGTAAACGGGGTAGAATATTAACAGATAACAAAATCCTCACTACAAGCAAAGAAAACGGAATGATAATCTCAGTTTCCACCCTTGGGTTGAGAAAAGGATTAAATTCCGAGATGGTTATTGGAGAATAGAACGGGCGAAAAGTTGCCAATATCCCTAACGCTTACTGGCCTGGTTTGCCAACTAAAATAAAATCTGATCAAAATTAAAAAAAAGTATTTTAATTTTTGAGATAATGTACCATTATTTTAGATTATGAAATATATCAATTGTTTTTCGAAGATGAGGATATTAGTTCAAACGTAAAGAAATATAATAACAGAATTGAACTTCCTCTCCACAAAAAAAAGCTAGTTTAATTCTAAAGAGACTTTGTAAATTATCCGAGTCTTAAATACAGAGTATCGCTATAGTCGGGACACATAAGTAATCTCAGTAACTATATTTTTTTTACCTTCACAGATTAAACATGGTTTGGTCGAAAGAAGAAAGAACTGATTTCTTTTTCTGGTGTATACTAAAGGAGAAGGTGTACTCAATGAAAATCACAGATGCAACACACTTGATTGAATGCATAAAGAGTGAATGTTTTAAAATTGACAGTAATGTAGAGTTATTGCATTGAGTTCACATGAATCTTGCAAAGTGCATCAACCTTTACATCACAAATGATGGAAATCATATTGAAGATGTTATTTGTTAATATTCTAATTCAATAAAATATGCATTTTTACCTATGTGTCCAGACTTTAGGGACACACTGTATAAACACAGAATTAATGTAGATCTGAAATAGATCCTTGTAAGAAGGTGATTCAATTTTATGCGTTCGACTATTTTTAGGATGTGTATTTTTATGACGTTAGATTAATTTAAACGGTTGAGAAAAGCTGATTTACATGAAAATGGTTCATATATTGTGAATATAAATGCGTATAGACGACGTTAGACGTCGGTATATTTTATTATTGATGTTGAAACCTGGATTTAAAAATCTTTAATAATTTCACGTTGTTAAATCTGGATTAATTTTCATTCAAACGTAAGAATTCAGATATTTGATCGCAGATATCATTGACAAGATTTGCGTTTCCTTTTTACTGTCGCTTTCTTTGCTTCCCAATCTCGAATTCGAACATTATACGTGATAAAAAGTAGAACTCGTTTAATATGCATAGCACGCAACAGGTGTTCTCCAAAAAGTGATCGGAAACAGAAATCCATTGTCATTTCATTTTAGGATATCAAGACAAACTGCTTCCATTTTGAATGAATGCAAATCTAGGAAGCTTCGAAGACGAGTTGAAAAGTTCTCGGTCCGACTCGATTTTCAATATTTGATCAAATGACCAAACATCAGAAATTCTTTGGAGGGCACTCACTAACATCTATCTATCTATCTATCTATCTATCTATCTATCTATCTATCTATCTCAGTCTGTTCATATCTATCTATCTATCTTAGTCTTTTCATATCTATCTATCTATCTATCTATCTATCTATCTATCTATCTATCTATCTCAGTCTTTTCATATCTATCTATATATCTATCAATCTATCTCAGTCTTTTCATATCTATCTATCTATCTATCTATCTATCTATCTATCTATCTATCTATCTATCTATCTATCTCAGTCTGTTCATATCTATCTATCTATCTATCTATCTATCTATCTATCTATCTATCTATCTATGTCTGTTAATATCTATCTATCTATCTATCTATCTATCTATCTATCTATCTATCTGAGTCTTTTCATATCTATCTATATATTTATCAATCTATCTCAGTCTTTTCATATCTATCTATCTATCTATCTATCTATCTATCTATCTATCTATCTATCTATCTCTCTATCTATCTATCTATCTATCTATCTCAGTCTGTTCATATCTATCTATCTATCTATCTATCTATCTATCTATCTATCTATCTGAGTGTTTTCATATCTATATATCTATCAATCTATCTCAGTCTTTTCATATCTATCTATCTATCTATCTATCTATCTATCTATCTATCTATCTATCTATCTATCTATCTATCTATCTCAGTCTGTTCATATCTATCTATCTATCTATCTTAGATCGCTACAGTGTTCGAGTCCATTTTAAAGGTCGGATGTTGAATGGTACTCAAAGCCAGCTTTTTTTGTGACTTGCCAACCTCGCAAAAGTGAGAATTCTTGTCTTAAGACTGCGAAAACGAAACTTTTCAAAATGTTCCTGTTTCTAGTGGAAGACATATTTATACATAATCATATCTAAACTCTGACCCATACACATTCGTGAAATCCGAAATATTCACCCTGTTCAAACTTGAGGTTACTTGTATCTACGCAGACATGTTCGAATCAATCATTCTTGCCTTAGTTTTATTTTAAACAATATGAGAATAATTCCTGTGTATCCAAAAACTTAGCAGAGCTTGTTTCAATCATTGTCAAAATATTAATTGCCGAGCCATATGTTAGTATAAAAAGAGATGATATGCCACAGTTTTATAAATTTTGTGCTTAGCAATCATCTGTTTCATTGATTATCTGTTAGGTGGAAGACATGAATAAAATCCATTATTTTGTCTGTTCAGATTTTGTTATACTTACCATTTCATTCTATGATAAATCAGTTTGCTTTTGACCGAATAAATGTAAAATATGATAACTTGATATCAGTAACCTTCAATGTAAAATTATATGTATCTATGTATATAGAAGTTATATATATATATATATATATATATATATATATATATATATATATATAATTGCGTATTTGGGCTTTTTTATGCAAGTTTCGTTGAAAACGACATACAAAGTGCTGTGGTTAATTAAAAAAAAATAATTCCTCATCTGTTTGTATATTTTTCTTGTCAGGATATAAATCATATAAAAAGTAGAATAAAATTCATACTTGATAATGGCTAAAAGTATAGTCGAATTGATATGATTTATATCCCGAAAAAGAAAAGAAATATTGGAACACACACACAGATATATATATATATATATATATATATATATATATATATATATATATATATATATATATATATATATATATATAATCACGGTAGTCTGTACACCTAATAATAGTAATAAGAACGTTAAATTTTATATAGGATCCACCCAAGGTAATTTCAAAAGGATGTGTGTAGTTTTTCTTTTCTTTCTTTTTCTTTCTTTTTTCCACAATTTTTTCATCGGGTACAAATTTGTTTTGATATACTTACAAGTTGTGGTATCCGAGGTTATTTTCGAACCGAGTATTTTTAGTATAATATATATATATATATATATATATATATATATATATATATATATATATATATACAAGGTGTTTGGGCAACATTGTCTAAATTGTGTAACACCATAATTATCCATCCCACAAAATGTTAATATCTAAAATAACGCAAAACTAATTGAGTTTCTTTTTTTCAGGTTTTCAGATAAGACGTTTCGCCATCTTGAAGCCATTCTTCAGAACATGTTGAAATCGTTTTGTGTCAGCTCCAATGTTTTTCCAAATGAGCAATAGTGAGAGGAAAAAGATCATTTAGGCCATCAGTAATGTTACCAACATTCATACTTTCGCCTGCTTCTTCAAAGACCATTCAAGAACTATCAAGAGGACGGTGAATAAGTTTTAAAACGAGGGAACAGTAAAGAGGAAAACTGAATTAGATGGTCATAACAGCAAGAGTTATCATCATTTCAACTTAGTACTAAAGAGATTATTTAGAAAAGATCCAACTCAATTCATGAGTGAGAGGGGAGTCCAAATGACAGTCCAAACAGCAATGAAAAAAAAGACTTGAAAATCAAATAGTACGTGAAACCTGTGAGGCAACTTGTTACCGCAAGACAGAAAGTTAGAAGGTTAGAGAGGGCGAAGATCATCTTGAATAAGTTGAAAAATGATCCTCGAATAGTATATATATATATGAACTTTATTTCAATCCTTCATGTCATTTTCATTTATGATCGATTTCATCGCGATTCTTCTGTTAAGCTGAGGGAGTAATTATACATTCTTATTGCCAGTAGAGAGGGTAGAGTGAGGGAGAATCACAGAGGTTAGAATTGCGCACACAGGAATTGTCGGAGACAAAATCTAACCAGCCTCTCTCTCAGGCCAAGAGTTGTACCGTTTTTATAACGTTTTGGACACCCATGCAACTTCACATGGCTACGCCTTCTTCCGGTATGTCACCCATGCAACTTCTTGTAGCCATACCTCTTCTGGCCACGTGCCCACGCAACTTCGTTTGGTACAGCGGAAGTGAGGTCAAAGGTCTTCATCAACCGATATCCAACACTAACATGAAAGCCTACATCAAGTGCTTTGAAGAGGTAGTGCTGCTCTGGGTCAAGAGGGTGGCTGCTGGAAGACACTATGTCTGGCATCATGACACTGCCATCACATCACCCCTTACGTTTGGCCACCTAACTCCCCAGACTGCAATCTCCTTGATTATTACATGTGGGGCACAAGCGGGCAACAAAACTCCTTGCAACACCAGAGATGGATTGAAGGCAAGGATTATGGCAGCATTCACCAACTTAAACAAGGAGATGATTGAGAAACGTTTTCAGCCAGACTAAGAAAGGATTCCCACAAAATCTGATGTTTATAAATGGGTAAATAATTAGTGGATCCAGTCAAGAACTTTTCAACATCCCTCATATGTACCCAAATAAATGATAGATAGATAGATAAATCATAAGCTGATTGAGAATAGGTAGATAGATAGATAGATAGATAGATAGATAGATAGATATGAACAGCCATAGATATTTTTCACGTGAATGTGCTTATAACTGATTAAGACACTCATGGACACACACACACACACACACACACACACACACACACACACACACACACACACACACACACACACATATATATATATCAACAATATGTTGATTTATCAGTTATATATGTTTGTATATGCGTGTTATTGAAACGTGTGTAGGTACGCTCATGTAGGAAATGACTTATATAGTTATACTTTTTCTTCATGTGTGTATAAATTTATTTCTATTTGTGAGGTCGATTGGTTAAGGAGAAAAAAGATAAGATTCATAAATCATTAACGATGTAATACCGACATTTTATCTCCTCACCGACTGACACGACCGCTTTGTTATTTAAGTCAAATTAAAGATGCCTGGAGGAAAGGGGGAAATTGTTTCAAATATTCTGTGATAAAAATGTAGAAAACATCCCGATTTTACTTTTTCTACTCACTCACTATATGACTTTCACTGGTAAGGAAGGGGATCTACAGAATGCAGTGGATAAATTTGTAGTCTAAATTCATATTTCATTTTAACAGATTTATTTGCCAAAATTACAAAAAAAGAAAAGAAAAACAAAATAAAAAAAAACTTGAAATACTAAAGAGTAAATTTAACTACGGTCTCCAGAAAATTTCGAAATCTCCTGCAATTCTTCTGGACGGTCCTGAGCCTTGAATAAACAGGGCGCAAAGGTGTCCTGAACCGAATGTTCGAGAAATTTCGTAGAAAATATGCGTTCTCCGGCAGAAAAATTTATTGAACATTCAGGCCAGTAAATCTAGTTAATACTGTTTAATTAATTAAAAAACAGAACATTTACTTTTAAAAATAACGTATAAACACAAAATATATTAAATAATGTCGCACTTAATTCATTTCATATATATATATATATATATATATATATATATATATATATATATATATATATATATATATATATATACTCTCTCCCATCAAATTCGATGTATGAGCGTCAAGCAGATCATACGAAACTGACAGCCCGACGCCAGCACATGAGATTTGATTATATTGATGAAGGTTTTTGTGCAGAACAATCCACACATTTTAAAGGGCCTAATACAGAGACTTGGTGCACTACTTGGTCCCCAAACGAAACCTTAGCAGGTATTGTCCTTCTCCTAGAGTAATTAATGATGACGATGTCATTTTCATTTATGATCGATTTCATCGCTATTCTTCGGTTAAGCTTAGAGAGTAATTATAAATTCTTAATGCTCATACAAGAGTCCAATAGAGTTATAAAAACGTTGGCGAATTCCAATAAGATATCTTTAATCATTTCTAAGATACAACGGTTCAAAGCTTAAACTAACAATTGGCCAATTTTGCTTTTATATTATTTATTGTTACACCCGATATATATAAAAATATTGCGTCATCGGTGATTACATCAGATTTTCATCACGCCCAAACACTATTGTCTTGACTGTCGATTAGTTGTTCTACGGACATTGTCTGTGATAGACCTTACTCCAATGACGCGTACGAAAATTGTAACGCTACACGAACACATTGGCATGCCTTACCAGTGAGCAAATGAAAGTACTATAGACTAGCCCGGAAACTCTCCTGATTTAGATTCAATCGAGAATATATGGTCAATCTGTAAGAAAGGACTTAGTGGACTGAACATACGAAATACTAACATGTGCACTGGGTCATATTTCATTGGAAAAACAGGAAATAACGGAATTATTCATTTTGTTCTAATTAATTTGCACAAGGGTGTAAATTGTCATTAAAAGATAGAGAGGGTAGTGCGGGTGAGAAAGACGCTACAATGGCGTATATATTTCTTGCGTTTAGATTTTGTAGCGTTTGTTTTTTGATAATTGTTGGTTCGGAGATTTTTACCTAATGGTGCAAGCCGAGCTTTTATAGATTTTTTGCTTTAATTCTGTAATTCTAGTAAAGAAATAAATGAAATATATATATATATATATATATATATATATATATATACAGCCTTAGCCACTGAAACTGTGTTACCTCCCCTGCATGATGAGGGCAAAAGTATCGCACGTGCTTATATATATATATATATATATATATATATATATATATATATATAATTATTATTATTATTACTATTTAAAAATATGTGTTTATCTTGACACAGAAATTAACATGTTTTCGGAACTAAAAACTGAACTTTAAATTAAACTTAGAATTAAAATTTTTATTTCATTCTCAAGTATTTTTTTGCATATTTTTAAATAATAATATTATAATACCGTACTCTACTGTGTATAGAACACTGATTTAAAAAATAAATGCTAAAGAACTGAGGGTTATAAATTTGAATGTTCTTATTATTTTGATATATATATTTCGACAACAGGAATTCATTGAAACTAGTTTTGTTAAATTCAAACAAGTTTGTTACTTCAGTTTTTTAATTGACTTTTTTCAATTTTCGAATAGAAAAGAAATCGGTATCTAATTTGTGGATAAACTGTCCGAAGTTCAAGATCTCTTTCGTTCAAGTACTATCGATCATCTCAGTTATTTGTAAAATTTGTAAAAAAAAGAAAAACTCGATGTTTTCAGTGTGGTCCATAATATTTTGTTGGCTATATCCTGCCATTTTTTGAACGCTGTGATTCATATTAATTAATTCCGAGTGACGTCATATATAAAAGTTCTTCGGAAGAATGCAAAAAATGAAAAAAAGAAAGATAAAGAAAATGATCGGTAAGTATATATATATATATATATATATATATATATATATATATATATATATATATATATATATATATATATATATATATATATATATATATATTTTTATATTTTTGTGTGTGTGTGTGTGCGTAAGTATGCAAACAAGCAAATCAAATCTAGTACGTGAAGGTTCGAATCGCATCCACAATAGTTGGGACAATTGGAAACGATTAAAATATATGGGAGGCGAGATTTCTATGTGTTATAAACTCAAGGAATAACTAAAATTGTCCAGACAACAACGGTGCTGGGGTTTGTGAGGATACTGGGTAAGGTGCTGGGGATTTTACGGGACTTGCTGACACCCAATAACCAACATATTTCTGCAAGCAAACGAAATAAAACAACACAAACCATAATAATGATAATAATAATGACCTCTCCGGTCGCTTCTGGTGTATGGACGATCTAGCAGCGCAGTTCTTAGAAGCAAACAGCCAGACTAGCCGAATATATAATTTGATTATAGTGGTGAATGCTTGCGCAGATCCCACCATATTTTTCGGAAAAACTGAATTTGTGTTTTGAAGTGGTATCATTCTCCTAGACTGCTTTGCAAATCACATCTAAAAAAAAAAAAAAGTCTGTCTTGCTTTTCACCCATAACCAGAGGGACGAACAAATGAAGACATAACTTTTCTAATTGTATTAACGGATAAATGAATGTCATGAACTAGATTGGATTTTGAATTTGGCTCTTCGATGTGGCAGATGCTGAAATGGATAGCGCCTCAGAATAATAATAATAATAATAATAATAATAATAATAATGATAATAATTTTTTACAAAAATGATCAGTGAAAAATATCATGAAGATATTTCTGATCTTAGGTTTCTATTTAGTACCAGAAATGTGTATACAACAGAAATCAAAGGAAATAATAATAATAATAATAATAATAATAATAATAATAATAATAAAAATAATAATAATAATCCTTTGTAAACTGGACAATAAAAAAAAAAAGTACGAAAAATTTTGAAATGTGGTATTCAGCGATCATGCATAAACCTTCGCAAGGATGAGGTTGATAGACGGCATAAGATGGAGGAAAAAAGAATTTGTCAATTTTTATATCAAAATATTTGAGGACTTGAAAATTTAGCGTAATGAGTAATTAATTATGGCATACAGAACTTGAAATAAAACCGATAAGAGGACAAATATGGGACGAGAAAATTCCAGAACGAGAAGCCCAAAATTTCTCAGAACAACAAATTTACAGAAATTTCAAGAAACAAACAAAAGGATTTTCAAATGAGATAATCTCGAGCTGATTGCGCAAAGGACATTTGTGGAAAGAAACTGTTCTTTATTAATAGAGATACAGAACTTCAAAACATAAAACACAGTAAAATAGTAAATGTAGAATGTGTGGAGATTAAGATGAGACCATCAATCATTTAATAAGAGAATGTTGCAAGGTAGCCGAGAATGAATACAAAAAAGACATGAATGGGTAGGAGTGGTAATACTCTAGGAATTGTGCAAATGACTAGTATTTGGTCATATAAACCAATGCATAAGCCATAATCTACTTTAGAGAATTAAAAATCAAATTTTGAATGTCAAAACAGTTTTCTCAAGCCAGGCTAGAAAAGCAGATGATGAAAGAAAGCTGGAAAAATATCTGGTATTTCTCAGAAAATAAAAATGTACTCATAAAAATAAAAGAATAATGAGGAGGGTGCTGGAGTAGTGAGGACGGTGCTTGAAAAATGTGGAGGGTGCTGGAATAGTGAGGAGGGTGTTGGAATAGTGAGGGGGCGCAGGAGTAGTAAGGAAAGTGTTGGAATAGTGAGGGGGTGCTTGAGTAGTGGGTCGGGTGTTGGAATAGTGAGGGGCGCGGGAGTAGTAAGGAGGGTGTTGGAATAGTGAGGAGGGTGCTGGAGTAGTGAGGGGGCGCTGGATTAGTGATGAGGCTTTCTGGAGTAGTAAGGAGGGTGTTGGAATAGTGAGGAGGGTGCTGGAGTAGTGAGGGGGCGCTGGAGTCGTGAGGAGGGTACTGAAATAATGAAGAGGATACCGGAGGGTGCTGGAATAGAGAGGATGGTGTTGGAGTAGTGAGGAGGGTGTTGGAGTAGTGAGGAAGGTACTGGAATGATGATGGGGTGCTGGAGTAGTGAGGGGGTGCTGGAGTAGTGTGGAGATTGACTTCCATTAGTTCTCAAGAAAGTCAACTAGTTATTACTGGTGTGAATAACCAGTAAGTAAAAATAATCATAATATTAATAGGCGCTAGAATACCCAGATTTGGGCAGATTTGCTGTTACTTAACCTCCAATGAAATCCATAACATATTTAGTGTGGAAATATAATAAGATATAACAGCAGCAGCAGCAGCAGCAGCAACAAGAAGAAGAAGAAGAAGAAGAAGAAGAAGAAGAAGAAGAAGAAGAAGAAGAAGAAGAAGAAGAACAACAACAACAACAACAACAACAACAACAATAATAATAATAATAATAATAATAATAGTAATAATAATAATAGTAATAATAATAATAAAAAGGCTATAGATTTTATAGTCTTCGTGCATCTTTTTATGCATGGTCTCACCAGATCTGTATTGTCTAAATTTTACCTGCAAATGGTAATCGTTATTGTAATATTAACCGTTTCCTGATAAAGAAACATTCGGTATTCATTGACCGAACAGGAAAAATTCATTGTCGGTTGAAATTTATAAAATCTTTCTATTAAAATGTGTTTTTCAGGAAAACAGGTTTCTCAAGTCCACTATGTGTTATTGCTCTTTCCAGTACTGATGGGTGTTTCCTGTCTAAAAGCCAAAGTATATATTTATTAAATGTAGTATAGTCGGAAATAAAAGGGAAATGTAGGATAGGAAGATTATATTGCGCCAAGCAGGGTGAAGATTCCTTCCTTGAAAATCAATGTTCAAAATACTGCTTTTTACTTGGGCTCAAATCATCAACCAGTTGCCCAGTTTGGAAATAGACAATGATCACAATTTCTAAAGCGGTCACTTGAATAAGCAAAATGATAGCAAACAAAAAGGAGAAAAGTTTTTCGTTCGGTTTTTATTCAAGGTTTTAAGATATTTTCGGATATGCGAAATATTCGTGTAATGGATAACGGCTCGAAATGAGAAACTGGGGATCTGAGTTCGAATTCCAGTCGGGTTCGTTATAGTCGCTTATGCACAACATCCGTTCCGAAAGGTATGAAGCCACCTCTTCTCCAACTCTTCTTCAACAAAGATAACATATAGCGATTTATTAAGCGTGGCTTAGAAGTTACACAAGGCCGTAAGTATGGAACACTCAGTGAGAATCAAACCCACTCGTAAGTGACCTAGCGAGACAAGCTTGTTAACTATTAAGCAACGTTGAAGTGCTCTTAAGAAAGGTAAAATATATTCAGCCTTTAAAACTTAAAATAAGACTTCATTTAAACTGAAACAGCAAACGCTTTTCTTTATAAAAATGGATAATCTTATATTTTAGATATTAATACTATGAAGTTATTCAATTAGCCGTCAGATCATAAACCACAGCCGCTATTAAAAAAACAAACAAACAAGATAACATCAAACGCGTGTAATCCTTTTTAGGGACCTGTGATTTTGATCCATATAATTATGATTATATATAAAATTTCTTAGAAAATGACCCGTTAGTTTTCGTCTGGTTCTCAAGTTAGTTTAACAGACCATTACTAAAGGTGCTCATAATCTCTAACCTTGTGCCAGTCTGAAATAATCTTATTATATATTTATACTTCTACATGTGTATTTATGGATACGATTGCGTACCTACGAAAATTATACTTATATAATTAAAATAATTATATAATTATTATTATTCGATTTAGTTATGAAAATATCGAAAAAAACTAAGATTGAAAAAGAAAAGAAAAGAAAAAAAAACAGAAATAACACAATCAATAAAAAGAATACAATAAAAAATAAAACCAAAATAAAAATTATCGTATTTTTAAAACGTGAAAAACGGGAATAAATAAAATGAAATCATTGATTCATTTTGCAAATTCTTTTGTTTCAATTCTCTGAAGTTACAAATTGAGAAAATAACTAAAGTTTCGGGTTAAGAAAAGTAGAAACGTGTGATTTGTAATATTCGCGTATCATATGCCGAGAAAGATACAAAATTAGCAATTAAATAAAAAAAGTGTTGATAGAAAGCAACAAAAAGAAAAGAAGGAATACCTAAAAGAGACAGAAGTGAAACCTACCTTCGACTTACAGAATAAAATAAATTTCTTATAATTTAAAGAAAAATATCCGCTGAATGTCCTGACGGAGAGATCTTAAAAACTCCCCGACTGAGCAAAAACTAAAGCAGAAAGACTCAAGTGGTTATAGTAAAAGTAGCAGCCGTTAGACAAGTTGAATTCAGTGACAACAATAGTAGTAGTAATAGTGAACATATGAAAGTGTTATCCCTTCGTTTCAACAATGGCTGGAGATACAATAAGATGCAATGAACAAATAATATCATCATCAAATGATGTATACTAGGAACAAGAAAAAAGGAGTTCCCCAAGAGATTCTTTCATTTCGTTTAATTTCATTTTTTCACATTTCTTTCTTTCTTTCTTTCTTTCTTTCTTTCTTTCTTTCTTTCTTTCTTTCTTTCTTTCTATTTCTGTCATAGTTTGTCCTTTTCTTTCTTTCTCTTAGTTAATCTCATCCTTTCTTATTTTTTCATATCCTTTTCTTTCTTTCTTTCTTTCTTTCTTTCTTTCTTTCTTTCTTTCTTTCTTAACTCTCTCTTTCTTTCTTTCGTATTATTTATCCATCTCTTTTTTTTTTTATATCCCTTCCATTTTTTTCCCTGAGTTGTTTTATTCTTCTATTAAATTTTAACTTATTTTTTTCCTTTCTTTCTTTATTCATTTGCTTAACCTTTCCGAAAATCTCAAAATGTAATTCCTCAGTTTTCATAGGATGTTCTATACAATTTCTAATAAGTAACCACGCTCTGTTGCGCACGCGCTCTCAAACACACATACACCGTGTATTTTGTGAGTAACCATTCTTTTTTTTAATTTGATTAAAGATTACAGAAATATTTCAATTAAAAAAGTTGTTATATTTATTTATTTTGGTTTCCTTAGGACATTTTTTTGATAGTTCAAGATTATAGATGGAGGTAAGTGTATATATATATATATATATATATACGTGAAAAGCGAAAAAGTTCTTGGAGAAACAATACACAATATGTATTTAAATTGCTGATACCCGCTGAAGAGTAGATGGACAGGTCCGCCTACATAACTCTGGAGTCTGGATGCTGAAGGTAATATCAATTAGCAAAGTGACAAACTTTTATTTATATTAATCCTATGCACACACACGCAGAAACACACAGACACGCACGCACACACACACATAGACACACACACACACACACACACACACACATATATATATATATATATGTTTTTAAAAATTGGATATATAATCTGGACAATGCTTTGTATGATAATTGTAAACGTTAATGAAAGTCGATGAAAGTTTAGAAATATATCCAATAATAAATAATGAGAAGAACTGAGAGTGAAGAAAATAAATGTCAACGACTTTTTTAAAAGTCACTCATTTTTTTTACTTCTTCAGACACGAGAAACGCCAGCTGAGGGAAAAAATTATAAGATTTCATTATATATATATATATATATATATATATATATATATATTATTTAAACACACACACAAATACACATACACGCATTTATTTCTTTCGTTTTCGGATCTCATGAAGACTTAAATGGCGAATGGTATTATCAGTTATATCCCCAAATCTAATTTCATGAACGTTTCCAATTGTCATATATATATATATATATATATATATATATATATATATATATATCGATGAACAGCATATTAAGAATATATCAAATGTTGGACAATTTTTGTTTTTTATTTTCTCCCGAAAGTAAAACCACTATGATCAAACATAATAGACACTCGTTGTCTGTTATATTTAACAATATATATATATATATATATATATATATATATATGTGTGTGTGTGTGTGTGTGTGTGTGTGTGTGTATGTATGTATTTAAGCAGAAAATTCTCTTTTAGGCATGTGTGATTAAATAAATTACAAACAATAACACAATAAACAGGAAAACCTGCCATTACTACTCATAATGCTCAATTGATTAGCATATATAAATAGTCGAGCAATACACATGGCCTGAAGATTGCGTTCACGCGTGAAACAGACTGTCACCATTTGATGTTAACCTCAGTGTCCAATCTTATATTATACGCTCTATCTATATTTTTACACACACACACACACACACACACACACACACACACATATATATATATATATATAATTAATAAAAAATAAAATTCAAAATTGCCTCATATGGGGAATAGTCTATTTCAGCAGACGAAGATATTGGTCGTCTGTCTTATCAACTCCGAGGTGATTTTGGATTTTATTGTTTATTAATTATTTGTTCTGTAATAATAAATACATTGTGCCCACTTGGATTATATACCAACGGATTTGTTACATTTACTATATATATATATATATATATATATATATATATATATATATAAGTGAACATTAAGTCAACACTCAGAGGCGACAGCATGAAATAGCCTGTCGCTTCTGATTGTTGACTTCAATGTTCACTTATATATTTATATTTACATACGCTCTATCTCTGATATTGAGCACTTCATCCTATATAGTATACCTTAAAACTATATATATATATATATATAAAGTGGTCTGTTTTTCATTAAATATATATATATATACTTTATCTTTAATTATCGTTTTATATCTCTCTTTTTCATTTCATTTTTTTTTCTTGGTCGAATCTATTTAAAAAAAAAATATTATTTCTTTCCTTTTTTTCTACCGATTCACTATTTTCTTAACGTTTTTTCATCTTTCATATCCAAGAACCCTGTCCGATGCCGACATGACGTCATTGTCATCTCTGCCAATGTGACCTTTTTATACACACACACACACACATACACGCGCGCGCGCACATACATACACACAGAGGCAATAGCTTCTAGATACATTGTAATTTAAATAACTCAGTGGCCAAACATGTTCTTTGCTATCATCAATAGTATGCATTTTTAAAATCAATTCACCCCAAAGAAAGGCGGGAATGCCTCTAGTACGAAGGTGGTTATGTGGAGTGAAAGAAAAGACTGGTCATAGTGGTTGGCGAGGAAAGGATAAAAGCTGAACGGGATTCGAGATAGAAGATGGCGATTGACGTTGCATTTAAATTTTTGAAGATTATAGTAACCAGGGAAGCAAATAAACATAGGGGAGCCACACAGGCCGGAAATACAAGAAAAGAAACTGTTGGAGTAAAGTGGCTTTTACATTTACCTAATTCAACAGTAAAAGAGTGGGACCTAAATGCCAATCTAGTAGCACGCTTAAACTAACGTAGTCCGGGCACCAGGAAAAAAACTCGTCAGAACAGTAACCATGAAAATATTTGTAGAAAAGACTGAGGGAAAACACGTTACGTCACTGAGAAAGTGGCTGAAGTCGAATACCAAGTCAGGATCATTTACATTGCAGATACTTTTTTGGATTTTGTCAAGAACCTCAAGGTGAATAGATGGAGCATCTGACCAGATATGGCGACAGTATTCAATGCACGGACGAATGATAAATTTGTAAAAGTGCAAGATGAACTCTGACGAGAAAAACTTCTGGCACGACACAGTGACCCAACTTTTCTTGCAGTAGATACAACTATTGATTCGATGTAGACGCTCCACTTCAAGTCATTTGAAAACGTGAGGCCAAGAAGGCGCAGTGTGTTTCTCTCCAGGAGTCTAGTCTTAACCATGTTGATGGCAGACAGAAAAGGTTCTCTATGGTGGTTAAATGAGAGCAGTTTCGCTTTGGAGACATTAAAATTTACGAGCCATTTCCTGCCCCAGTTAACCATTGATTGGAGATCCTTTTCAAAAGCAGCGGCCAGGTTAATTTTGTCAACTCTGACGTGGTTGCTATTGAGACAGGAGTAAATGCTAGTGTCATCAGCATAAATGCCTACTTGGGAATTAATGACATCTGGAATATCATTGATGAAAATCAGAAATTGCGTAGGACCCAGGATAGAGCCTTAAGGGACACCTGTGTGGAAGCGAGCCTCATTTCACGGGATCGTGTGCAAGGATCTGGAAACGACCTTCATTTCACGATTTGATAGGAATGATTGGATTAAATCAAACAAACGTGCAGTAATACCGTAGTTCTGGAGCTTATGTAGAAGACAAGTGTACCATACTCTGTCAAATGCCTTCGAAATATCTAAAGCCACAGATCGAGCTCTGCTAAGAGCTTAATATGCATATTAAGTGGTGGCCGTTAGCACATCAGTAGTAGACTGGGCAAAACGGAAGTCATATTGTTTGTCAGAGAGTAGATAGTGAGAGGTAAGATGCTTAGGCACTTCAGCATTGATTAAATCCTCGAATACTTTGCCGAAAAATCGGTAGGCGACTAATAGGGCGATAGTTAGAGGGGTCAGAAGGTTCTACAAAATTCTTAAAAATAAGGACTACAGAGGTGGACTTCCAACAAGCAGGAAGCAATGAGGCAAGAGTTGTAGAGTTTGGAGAGAAATGGAACCATCTCGGGCGCACATTACTTTAGGACGACGGCTGGGATCCCGTTACCCCTGCTTGCCTTACCGGAGTCTAATTTAGAAAGTTGTGATGGGATTATGCGCATATCACACAATAGATCGTCTGTACTAGGAGGGAAATCAGGTGTGGATACTCCAAACGAGTGGAGTGTTGAATTGGAAGAGAATTTCCAAGCAAAGCATTCAACCTTATCTGCTGTAGATGTCAGGACTTCGATTTGATTGAAGAGAGGCGGGATTGAGGATTTGCTGTCGTTCAGCACATTCTTACACATCCATCAATAATCTCTAGAACCGAACTTGCGAGATGCTATACGTCGTTTCATTTTATCAGTAAACTCTAACTTCACTTCTTTGAGGACACGCTTTCACTCGTTACAAGCAGAGACAAAGAGACGTCTGTTGCAATCAGGCGTGTCGCTCTGTTACAGCCGTAAGAAGGGATTCCTGTTGTCTATAGCGGCCGCTCATGCAGGTGAGAACCAAGGAGATGAGTATGGTTTAACTTGATATTTTCTTGCTGGAAAGAAAGCATCGATTCCGGATTTCATTCAGAAGGAAACGTCAGACGTGAATTTATAAGCAGGATGATTAAAAACTGCATTCCAAAGGACGTCACGAAGGAAGGCACGGAACGAGTCCCAATCCGCACGTTGATAAAAAATATTCTGTTGGTGGGAGGTTCTTGGCTGGTATGAGGCAGAAAGAGATGTCTACAGACACTACTACATGATCAGAGTTGCCAAGAGGGCAGAGCTGTAAAGTAAGACAAGAGTTCGAGGTAGAGGTAAAAAAAGAGAAGGGTGTCCATCGGGGTTACTGGGGAAACGCATAGTGAAGTCCACCACTTTCGTGAGAGATTAAGTGATAGAGAAGTTAAGGGTTTGGATTCGAGTGCGGTCAGAGACTGAGTGATTACACCACCTGACATGGTGGGCATTAAAGTCACCGAACACAAATATATTTGCAGGCGGGTGTAGGGAGATGGCCTTGTTTATATTATCAGAAATACTTTCTAGTGCACAACAGTCATGAGACGAAGGGGAACGGCTGAGAAAGAAGAGATAGCTGACTGAATTAAGTAGAGAGAGACGGAGACATATGTAAGAGTGGTGTGGAGATTCAAGAGAGACAAATAGGTAGATAGATAGATAGAGAGAGAGAGAGAGAGAGAGAGAGAGAGATCTAGTCAGCGGGAGATGTTCACGGACATAAACTCCCTGGCTATGTCTGTGGACATTAGAGTTCTTCTTAATGAGAAGAAAATATCCAGGAATCGAGAAATTAGAGTAGGAAATTGAACAGTTAAAATTAGTTTCAAAGAGAATTTAGGATGTCCTGAGACTTTTCGAAGAGGAACGATTCCACACTGCAAAAGTTGGTACGAATATCACGAATGTTGGAGAAAGAAAGGAGGTTTAAGTGATTTTTGCTGAGGTGGTTTAGATTTATATCTTTAGTACCTTATAGTCATGGTGTGCTGTTTTGGCAAGGGAAGGCCTAGGATAGTAGTCGTCTAATGCAACATGCGCAGGAAGGGAACTGGCGTAGACTGCAACATAGTGTGGCATCGGGCTTGCTCACTGGAGGTGATTGCAGAGTCACTCTCCCATGCGTAACATGGCACTGCAAGAACTCCGATATTATGCGACTGTTGAACAGAGCAGCCTCTCAAAACTGTCAACCCGGTACTCTCAGTATGAAGAGACATTACCACCATCCACACATATCACAAAAACTTCATGAGAGCACTATAAGTTCTGAGAAAAGGAAAGAAACCAGGGACCCCCCCCCTAAACAGGAATCAAAGTAAGAGCCTTTAATTCTCTTCAAGAGAAGTGGGAGGAGTATGAACATCGCGATAGAAAAACCCTATCTTCTGCTATTAAAAATACAAATAAAAAATACAAAATAACATAAAGCAAACAAGTACACACCTCCCCCCCGCAAAAAAAAAAAAAAACAAACAAAACAGTCCTGGTTCTGATTTCCAGTTATTTCGAAGAATGAACATTCAGTTAACTAATTTGGAGAGTCAATCAGCAGCCATAGAACTTTTGACCAAGCGAGTGCACTGTTTTTAAATACTGAACCGACCATTTAATTAAACACGAAATGTAATCACATACGATAGCAAGAGAGATAGATAGATATACAAGAGAGAGATATATACAGAGATAGAAAGAGCGAGAGAGAGAGAGAGAGAAAGAGAGAGAGGGAGGGAGAGAGAGAGAGAGAAAAATACAGATAAAAAGAAAGTAGAGACTGAAACAAAAAGAGCTATATATATGGAGTGATTGATATATAAAGAGAGGGAGAGAGAGAATTTTAGATAGAGAAAGACACACACACATATAATCGTGTGTCTGCAAATAGAAAAATAGGCACTGAGGCCAACACAACCGCCGCTGTATATATATATATATATATATATATATATATATATATATGTATGTTAGAGAGGGAAATATCTAGAAACAGAGAAAGTGATAAAAAAACAGTGAGCGATATATAGAATTACAGTGGGCTGGGTATATATATATATATATATATATATATATATATATATATATAGTTTTAAGATGTGCTATATTTATGGGATAAAAGTGCTCAATATCAGAGATAGAGCGTATGCAAATATAAATATAAAGTGAACATTGAAGTCAACACTCAGAGGCGACAGGATGTTTCATGCCTGACGATTGCCTCCTGCATGAAACAGCCTGTCGCCTCTGAGTGTTGACTTCAATGTTCACTTATATATATATATATATATATATATATATATATATATATATATATATAAGAGGAGAACGAATAGAGTACAATTCCAACGTGACTGACAGAAGATCTTTGTAACCTCAACTTATTATTTTTCTTACCTTGAGGATCTTTTCATTCAAGTGAAGGACTTTTGTTAGGAAAAGGATGATCGAGAAATACAAATTGCAAATAGGAGATACCAAAGTCAATCAAGCACAACAATATAAATACCTGTGAAGTATTTTGACAGAGGTCGGAAAGTGCGACAGTGAAATCCGAAGGTATATTGGAATGGCCAAAGAAGCCTTCGAAAAGCCAAGCAGATTAATAAGAGACAGAAAAACTTCGTTAGTAACAAAGAGGAATGAACTATTACGTGACATCTCTCTTCTTATATGGTAGTGTATCCTGGACAATCTTTTCTACAGAAGGATGCTGAGAATACCATGAACCGGTCATGTGGAAAACGATGAAGTTTTAGAGAAAATGAAAACAAAAAGGACACTTATACTTAACATGAGGAAAAGAGGTGAAATTTCTGGGGCGCATAATTAGGAAAGAGGGCTTGGAAAATCTGATACTCACGGGACAGATTGAAGGCAAGAGGGACAGAGGAAAACAACGCATAACATACTTAGTGAGATTTTGTAAATGGATGGTGGAACAGGGTTTAGGAGAAATAACAAACAAAATTTATTAAAAGCCAAAAAGGACAGGACACTGGAGAGAGCCATGATCGACTACGTCCTGAGGGGATACAGCACATAAAGTAGAATAAATACTTTACTGCTTCGCTTTAGCATAGCTGATTTAGTAGCGTCTTGCACTTTGGGACTACTATTTGGTAAAATTCCTTATTTCTGGGATTGACAGCAAATGCAAGAAAATATGAATGAGTGGAACCACAGTAAGATGAATTCTTACGAAATAGTCACGTTCGTCAAAAAAATAAAAAAGAAGAAATTTTACAGTAACCACTCCCTAAAAAATTAGCTTCCATCACCTAACAGAGCTAAAATAAAATAATTTACATAATTCTTTTGATTTTTTTCTTTTTAAATGATCTATATCGCAACCGTTTGACCGATCTATTCTCAATCATCATCAGGTGGTAAAGAATAAGAAACTTAAAGGAATCTGCATAAATGCTCTAATTAAATGATTCGATCAGTAGACTAACCATAAACATCGATATCGGATGTGAACCACGTACAAAAAAGGTTTACTTGACGCTCATGGGTTCAATGTTCTTCTATGTAACGTGTCCCTTCAGGACATTGGCGATAATGGTTTTCCATAGCTTCCTGTCCTGTGAAGCACTTAATAATTTTAATTTTTTTTCTATCTCTCCTAAACTCTGATCCGCCATCCTTTCACCCAAGCTCGTCAGGAAGGTTATGCGTTGTTTGATTCTGTTTCTCTTACATTCGATCTGTTCGGTGAGTATCAAATTTTCCAAGCCCTCTTTCCTCATTATGTGCCTCAGAAATTTCAATTATCTCTTCTTTATGTTAAGTATCCTTTTTGTTTCCATTATCTCTAGAACTTCGACGTTGCTGCTCACATGTTCTGTCCAGGAGGTAGAGGGTGGCTGATGGAAGATCTTATGCCTGTCAACAGGACTCTGCATCATGCCACACAAGCAGGAATACCAAGTCATGGCTGTCTTACAATTTCTGCGACACGGACACCTAACTCCCTAGAATGCAACCTCCAGATTACTATGTATGGGGCGCAGTTGAGCGAGACACCAACAAAATCCTTGTAACACCAAAGATGAACTGAAGGCAAGGATTATGGCAGCATTCACCAACTTAAACTAGGAAACCGTCTAGACGAGATGCAGGAGATTCCGAAGTTATCTGGAAGCCGGGATTGAAGCCAATGGCGATTTTATTGAATAAATTTATTCTTTAATGTTTTAAGATATTTTTGTGTAATTTTGGTAAATATCTGTTAAAATTAGGTGTTAGTGTTATTTTAATTTCTGTGTAATTTAGACGTTAATACATACATCGCACCCTGTACATACATAGATACATCCACAGACACATTCACACATGCATAACTACATACACACACGCAAACACACATACGCACATACACACACATATATATATATGAATAAAGACAAACGGAATACTTATCTTTATACGTATTGTCCTTTTACTGATGTATTCTATCTGAATTTTTTACATGCAGACACACGCACACATCACACAGTATGTTTAAATGACTTGCATATTGTTATATGTGTGGTTTGTGTGCGTGACACTTTTCAAAGTGCCAACAGATACTATACTCTTATCTGATATTTAATTACATCTTTACGAGTAGAAAGTGGACACTCATGAGTCCGTACAGAGACGGACAAAAGTGTTGATCACCCGCGACTGATTTCAAAAGTTGTCATAATACGTTCATCCTCCCCTTATAAGTAGAATTGGAGATGTTACCACGAGTTAGGCACGTTGAGTTTTTTTTTGTCGTGTACTGTCTAAAAAAAAGAGAACGCAGCATTTGGATTCAAGTCCAAAAGCCGAACCTGTGGATCTCAACAGAAGTACCAGGGAGTGATAGTTTGATCCTAGTCAGAGCACACAAATATTCTGGTCTTAGTTTTCATAAATACTTTGATCTTAATTAACACAAATACATTGAACCCAGTTCTCATAAATGTACTGGTCATACTTCTAAAAAACTTCGAACCTAGTTCGTAAAAATATTTTTCTTAAAAATTCACTGATCCTAATTATGAGTACTGATACTGTGTGAAACCAATGCTGTTGTTTTTATGCGTAAGTTGCTAGCTTCAGAACAAAAGAATAATCACGATAATTCTATGTAAGCAATCGTTTTCATCAGAGAAATGATATATACTCATATATATATATATATATATATATTTATACTGATGTAATTTTACAAAAGAAGAATATTCGTGGAATGAAGTATTGGATACTATGTATATCTTGAAATGTATTTCCATCTTTTCTTGATGGATCTATAATGTAGGCATTTAGTTTCATTGGCATAATGCATTAAGGCAGGTAATCTGATTGAGTTGAAAATCAAACATTGAAATCTTATCGCAAATTGTATGCATGGTCGATATATTTGACGCTAGAGTCAAAGAGTCTATTTTTAACAACAGTCTCAAGGTAAATTGTTAGACTTGTACATATAGCGTTGCTTTAGAGTTGTGTTACGCTTTTGAAAGAAAGACAGTCTTTCTTGCATAGAAAGAAGAGTATTTCAATGATAACTTCTTTCAGTCTCGGCATCTGACAGTTTAGAAATGCACAGTTAGTACGAATAATTTAATCAATAGGTCATTTTAATTTAATCCAAAAGTGATTAAAGATTTTAATCACTATCGGAAAAAACAAAACGAAAAGAACAACTAAACAGTATTCTGTGTTATCTGCAGGTCAATCAGATTCATTGTGTTCGTTGTCTGTAATTTTAAACGTTCGTGTTCATCAATATACCACTGATTAATGTTTTAATTTTATATGCTGATAACGAAAATGTTCGAATTAACATTATAAGTGACCAACATGTGACAATTAAGATTGATCAACAGATAACTAAGTGACTTACAGGTAACGAATATGAGCGGCTAACAGATAATGGATTCAAGGGACTGACATTAACGACTAAATGATCGATAGGTAACGAATATGAGTGTACCCAGAGATAGCGACTGTCAGTGATCGACAGGTAACAACTACTAGTTACCTACAAACAACGACACCGACTGATCGATTGATAACAAATCTGAGAGTACAATATCTAACGACTATTACTAACTAACTGGTGGCGATAATAAATAACCGACTAGTATCAACTATCAGCGAAAGGCAGATAAAGAATATGGGTGAGTGGTAAATAACAATTATGAATAACTGTTACTAACGACTATAAGTGAACGACAGGTAATGAAACTGAGTGACAGGTAGATAATGACTATGAGTGACAGACAAGTAAACACTACGAGTGACTGGTCGACAACAACTATCACTGATCGACGTGTAATAAGACTGAGTGACTGGTGAAAAACGACTATGACTAACCAACAGGTAACGTCTATGAGTGCCCGAGCCATTAAAATTATGAAGGACCAGCAGTAATGACTATGACTAACCAACTGGTAACATCCATGAGTGTCCGACACATTAAAATTATGAGGGACCATGAGATAACGACTATGACTAACCAACATGTAAAGTCTATGAGTGTCCGAGCCATTAAAATTATGAAGGACCAGCAGTAATGACTATGACTAACCAACTGGTAACATCCATGAGTGTCCGACACATTAAAATTAAGAGGGACCATGAGATAACGACTATGACTAACCAACAGATAACGTCTACGAGTTTCCGACACATTAAGATTATGAGGGACCAACAGAAAACGACCATGACTAACCAACTGGTAACATCTATGAGTTTACTTCACATTAAAATTAAGAGGGACCAACAAATAACGACTATGACTAACCAACAGGTAATGTCTATGAATGTCCGACATTTTCCTTTAAGCATAATTTACAATTTTTACTGTTAATATTTTATGGGGCGGCTATTTATATAACTTCCCCTTTGATTTAGGTTGGGATATTTTTTGGCTTCATATGGCTTTTGATAGGGTTCCATTGTCTGTGTATTTTTTCTTGCCAATGAAATTTTGTGATTATAATATCTTTCTTTAAAGGCTTTTTTTCTGTGGTGCCTATGTAAATTTTTTCGTCTGTTAATGTTATTAGTTACGATAGCTTTGTATGTAATTGGTTAAACATTTATTGAAAATTGAGCAATTTTCTTTGCTTCTGCAGTTACATTTAATGGTGTTTTTTTGCTGCATGTTATTGTTATTGTAATTGTTATTGGTTTTGTTGAGTATTTTTTTATTGTGTTTAGTTATTATTTTCTCCATGTTATAAATGCAACGGTAACTTATTTTGATTGTATTTTTATTAAAATGTTTTAATAATTTGATGATTTTAGGGAAGTGTTTGTCGATTTTTTGAAGAATATTTTCCATATTTTTATTTTTATTCCATTGTTGTGGGAGGTGAACAAAATTATATTTCTTGTTTGAATATCCGCTGTTTCTTAGGGCTGATACATGTTTTTTTTTATTTTCATTGGATATTTTTAGGCTACTAGAATTTGTTGGAAATCTTTTACTTATATATATGGATATTTGTTTGAATGAGTTGGGGGTGGGTTTTTTTTTTAACTTTGTTAATTAATAAAGTTTTATTAAAAACGACTGGCAAGTTATTGCGGTAAAGATTTTTATTTAATTTTTTTTGTTTCGTGTTTTTATAATTTTCTTCTTTTTTTTGGACATAAACTATGTATAAATTGGCCGAATGTTCTGTATGTCCAAGTGCTTTCGTCTATACTTTTAGCCATTATCAAGGATGATTTTATTTTTCTTTTAACTGAGTGTATGTATGGTTTTATGTATGTACCTGGGGTTATAGAAATCTTTTATTTTCCAAATACGGTTAGCACATTGTGGCTGTATTCATAGTTGATATTACTGAGTGTTGGCTTTTTCTTTTTTACTAATAATTCTTCCATTATTTTTGGTCTTTTTACATGTGGATGAGGCTATTATATTTGTATTATCAACGAGTGTATTGCTGATGGAGTTTGAAGGTTTCCATATGAGACCTAATTGAGCTATGGTCAGAGAGATGTAACGTGAGTCTTCTTGTTAGGCATGTTTTAGTATATCCAATATAATTATTTATAAACTTGTTTCGACCAGGGACACAATTCCTTAAGGGACATGTGAACTCGTAAATAATATTGGTTCTCTGTCATTTGGATCTTGCGAGTGAGTTATTGTTGCTGACGATGAGGTTAGCAATTATAAATTTTTTAATAGTGGATAATTAATTTTCTTGTTTTTTATTAAATTTATTAAAATTTAAATAAAAAACTTAAACGCAGTACCCTGTCATTTGTTTTTAATGAAACTTGTATAAAAGATGGGTTACTACCCAAATATACATAAAATTACATGTTTACTTCTGGTTGCTGTGTCAGTGGTTGTATGGATGTGTAAATTTCTCATCTTTTTTAGTACATAAAATTACATTTTGTTGTCTATTTACGAAGGACGGTAAAATGGAAACTCAATATATCTTTTTAAAATACCATAGGAAAACAAAAATTATTCATTAAAAAATTAAATTTTATAATCACTATGTTCATTAACTATGAAGTATAATATCACAGAACATATTAAATTAACTTTGTCCGTCTATATCTCTGAGATGAGGTATTATTATTACTTGCATTATTTACAGTAGCAAAACTGTTATCCTCATCTTCATTGCCACATTCACAACGTTTCAAAGACACATAATCCAGTGGATAAAGACGTTGGTTAGATCCAGTGACTAGAGCCAAAGAATTATGAGTTCAATACCAGGCTACAGAAGTGGTGAACGAAAACTTGTAGAGTTGAATTAAAGGGAAATAACTGAGACATTCGGAAGAGGCATGGCATATGGATCTAGAACAATCTACCCCAGTGGACGAAATAAAAGGTTCGGTTAGAAATTCCAATCACCTGAAGAAGGTCGGAGCGTACAACAATCGAAACTTTGCGAATATGGCAATAAAGATGAGGATAATAGTCCGAATAATGTAAATAATCTGAATAATCATAATACCTGATCTCAGAGATATAGGCAAAAAATTAATTGAGAGTTTGGTTAAAAGGAAATAACTGAGGCATCCAGAAGAGGCATGGCATATGGAACTAGAACAATCTACCCCGGTGGACGAAATAAAGGGTTCGTTCGAAATTCCACACACCTGAAGAAGGCCGGAGCCTACAACGGCCGAAACGTTATGAATATGGTTATGAAAGTGAGGATAACAGTCCGAATAATCTAAATAATGTAAATTTGTGGCAAAATTTTAAATGAATATATTTTTGTCTATTTGGCACCGAAAACATCGATTAAAATAAAGATAAAATTATAATATTGCAACTTCAAATGAAATAAAATAAACAAACAATATACTTGCTTTTGTATCTTAAATAATAAATGTAAATTACTCCAAGATTAAATGATAAATAGTTCTTTTTAAAAAGTATAAATCATTTATGGTAATTCCAGCAACGAACATTCATTATCATTCAGTCTCTCAAATTGGTCTGTTTCTTGTTTGATGGTTTAATTTATTTATTTGATCTACGTAGGACATGTCTAAAATGGTTCTCTTGCATCGTATTTCAAATGGTTGAATTCTTCACTGTAACTCTGCTGTTAATGTCTAAGATTAGCAAGTGAATAGAAAGTCTAAAAAGGCCAATGAATAAAATAATCTGATCTTTGATTTCGGGTAAATATTCTTGACTCTTTTGAGATGGTTCTTAGTTTTGCGACAGATGTCATTGTTTCTGTTGCTCTTGAGTTTTTTTTAATCTTTTGGTGTCTTCTTTGCTGATAATCGAGATATTTGAATCGACTCACTACTTTGAGTTCCTGATCACCGACTTCTGTTAGGCTGAAAGGCAGCGTGAATAAATAGCCGGCAGTTCAGTGTCATCCTACTGTAAATCAGTGTTAAGTCGTCGTGGGTAGAAGTAATCGAAAATATCTTGTTATAGTATCAGCCTGACAGAAATATGTTCCTGATCACTGAGGAACACTGCTGTTATCAGAGGGACTTGTATTACGTAACAGTTCAGTACTCTTCTTCTTTTGATTCTTTCTAACGAAATTTTCCGATCTCTTAATGCTTTGCTCAGCTTTTGCAAGGCATATTTCACTATTCCAATACGACTTCGGATTTCGGCGTCGCACTTTCTGTCTTCTTGGTGAATATTAGATAATAATAACTCTCTTTCTCTCTGTATATTCCATGACCCTTTAGCACGTGCGCGATTACAGCTCTCCACATCTGCCTGTTTCTTACCCAATACAAAGCATGGAAACCACTTAATATAGAGAGTTATTGCTAAAATGGTTATGATGAATGCCTTGCGAGATATGAACAAAAGAGGAAGCGCTAAGACGTGAAGGTTATAGCGATAAGGAGGATAATTAAAGATTGATTCTTAACATGAAGAAATTAAGAGTCTCTTGTTCTGGGAAGCACCAACGTGGTAGTTTGCTCTACAAAGTAGCAGTTCTTGACAAAAGGTGAGTGTGACTTCCTTCTTAGACTTGGGATACGAAGGAAATGAAGTTGATTCAACTCTATGGAAGTGTCATGGTTGTAATGGTCTGAGCTGGTGGAACTAAAGAATGGAACTCATTTGAACATTTGACTCGGTTTAAGATTACTTATGAATAAAGTTTCCCTATCATGAGACTTTTCCGTGGGGTTCAAGTAATTTACAACTAATCTAACGTCGGCGGGTTTAAAAAAGGTTGAAGGTATTTTAAGAAGGTTTCGGCTACAAATACTGGAATAAAGTGTTTATGCTTCTACTTGCGACCCTTTAGTATCTGTTTATATTTCTGAGATGAGTTATTATGTACACTATTAACATTATTCGGAATATTGTCCTCATCTTTGTTGTCATATTTATCACAACGTTTTTGTTGCTATATTTATCACAACGCATTTATCCACTGTACCATATGTCCTTAAGGAAACATGGCACAGTGGATAAAGGCGTTGGTTAGATCCAGTAACAGGACCCAAAGTGTGGTGAGTTCAATACCTGGTTAAGGCAGTGGAGAACTTGGAGAGGGGAATTAACAGGAGATAGCTGATAACTGGCACCCTTTAGACATGGCACGTGGAACTAAAACAGTCTACCCCAGCGAAATAAAGGGTTCAGTTCAACATTCCAACCACCTGAAGAAGGCCCGAGCGTACAACGGCCGAAACGTTATGATAAATATGGCAACAAAGATGAGTACAATAGTCCAAACAATGTAAATAATGTGCGACCCTTTGTTCTCAGAACTGGATTTAATTTGAGCCAACTTTGTAAACTTCTTCCACGGTGTAATTCGAGAAGACAGTGTTTTATAGCTGAGTTTCTCAGGCGTTGGAATTTCTGACAGTTTTCTTTCCGACATTGCTCAAAGCGATCAAGTAGTCAAGAATGTCATGA